CTTTGATTCTGGGGGGTGGTCTAGGACCAGGACCCCAATGCTGAGAAGTTACAGTAGATGAAAGGAAGTCTGGTGCCGGCCTGCTCCCAGTAAGCAGACATGTCAGAGAAGCAGAGCCCCCTGGTCAGGGAAGCAGGCAAGGGACTTGCTTCCAGCCCTCTGCCTCACCTCTGGGGACATGGCCACCACTCCGGAGGTGGGAGTTGACAGTGGGGAAGTGCAGATCAACACTGTGTCTCCACCGTGAATATGCAAGAGGGGATCCTGAGGTACGGGGACATAAGGGGACAAGGGGCTGCAGGGGCTGCAGGAGGTGCGGCAGGCCGCTGGCTAGGAGTCATGGCCTGACTGTCCAACTTTCCAATAATGCATTTTGTTACTTTTTAAGAAAAGCATTTGCCTTGGACCTCTCCCAGGCCAAAAGAACTAAAGGAATAAATGCTCCAGGAGCACTGCTGTGCGTGCCTGGAAACCATCAGGGGCAGGTTCCTTGATGGACGACAAGTCCGAGACTGCCAAGCTGGCCTCTTAGTAGGGCCCCCGGGGAGCTGGTCCAGCTCAGAGAGCGGTGGGAGCCACCCACTCCAGCCTGGGCCTGGATTTTCCTCTACCCCGGGGGCAGCTGTGCCTCGGACATGTCAGGAGTGCTTGGTTTGTTTAAGATTTGCTCCTCATGGCTAGGAGCTAAAGTCTAGCTGAAATGTCATCCAGAAGGGGGTGGCTGGTGCCAGGGGCTGCCAAAAGCAAGGCAGTTGCTCTGGGAGGTGACTTTTCATAAAGAGATTTCACCCCTCAGTGCCCCGTGGTCACATCTGGGGCTCTTCTCTGCACATGTGAAAGGCCCCAGCAGCACTGACCTACAATGTCAAAGTCAACAGTCCTCCTGCTCTGTCACCTCTGACATTTGACATCACCTACCTTCAAAGCCCAAACTGTCCACGAGAGCCCAGGATGGGGAAGGAGGAAGACAGGGACCAGGGGCTGGACAATCTGAAGTTCATCAATCTGGGTTCCCATCGCCCCCAAATTTGCAATGAAGGGTAAGGAGGCGAAGAAGAAAGGGGGCTTTGGACAAAGATCTAGGGTGAACAGCTAGTGACCAGTGGCCCATAGGCATATGATTTTTGGTGGACAGAGCATTTTAAAAGCTTTCACACTTGAATGCCATTGGAAGGGGCAAGCAGTCATTGAATCTCGACTCCCACTGCCCATGCTGCCCCGTGTCCTGCCCAAGTTGCAAGCTTACTCCACTTGCCTGGCCTGGGAAGCAGTTAACGCAGGGCCCTTGAGGTTCTGATCTGTTTCCCGGGACTGTGAGCATCCTGATGGCCCCGATGACTCTGCCTGGGGACTCCTGCATATTGTCACAGCCAGGCCTGGAGTCTGACCCACAGCAGAAAGGATAAAGAAAAGTAAGCAGACTTCTAATGACATTGGAGGCCTAGCCCCCTGGGAGCTAGAGCTGGGCCCATGCCCAGGCCCTGTCACGCCTGTGGTGCGGCCTTGGACAAGCTCTTGTCAATCCCTCTGAGCCCCGGGGCATGGTGGGAAAGGAGTCTGGATGAGTCCGCAGGGTTGGTGTGAATCTGGGCAAAGGCTTTTCGAGTTGGTTTTGGTGTCAGTGAGAATCAGGTTGAACTGGCAACACCTCCAACCCCCAGGCTCCTCCATCAGGCCAGCCTCTGGCTCCCTGTCCTTTCTTTGCTCGTTGAGGGTCCACAGGATTTCTAGGGGACTGAGGGAGTCCATACTCTCCCATAACAGGAGCACAATTCTGTTGAGAGAGAATGGGGCCCAGAGATCTAAGAATTCACTTTCCCTCTATTTTGCCCTATGAGCCCCGAAACGCACATTTCTCATCTGTAAAATGAGCACTGTCATGGCCCCAGGGGATGGTCAGAGATCTCAAAGCACCATACGAACGTCAGTTAAGAAAGGGCTAACCCCCACTAAGGCGCCTTGGGAAAGGGGTGCCGGGTTTGATATGTCATCAGAATTTTCCAAGTTGGAGCTAGACTAAGGTACGAAAAATTTTCATAAAATCCACGATGTCCTTTTCAAAAAGTCAGAGCTAGAACATGGGACTAAAGGCCTATGGAGAAACACCCCAGACCTCTTGCCATGATGCTGGTGAAAGCCCTGGCCTTGTGCTTTCCACCTAGAATCCTCTGGCGTCAACGACTCTGTCCTTTGGAACCCTCCTCTCCAAGCTCCCAGGCAGCTCCGCTGGGCAGCGCGGGAACTCCGTGGGTGAGAGCAGTGATGAGTGTAAGAGCATGTGTGTGCATCGTGTGCTCCTGTGCTTCTGCCTGGCAGCCAAGTAATAAGTGGCTGTCTAATAAATACAAATGCAATCTGAGGACCAGCAGAGCCTCAGGGGAGAGAGGAGAGGCGTGGAAGGAGCTCATCACAGAGCTGAGGGGGAACAGGGTGGGGAGAGGGGCACTGGTGGGGCCAGGGGGCTTTGCCGAGGAAGGGCAGCTGTGCCTTAGGCAGCGAGTTCAGGGAAATCTGATCTCCTATTAACAGGCTGAGACCACGGGAGGGACTAGAATCCAAGGAGGCAAGAGGTCAAGAGGTCTGCGCAGCAGACCCCTGACCCCAGCACTTCCTTCAGAAGGGAGGAGGAACAGGTAACATACTTTCTTCTATCTTGCCCGACAGGTGGAGGCTGCAGCTGTTTTATCTGGCAGCTTCCAAGGGGGGGGGGGGGTGCCTGCGCTGAGCTCAGGGGCTCCACCTCCACCCTGGGAGGCTAGGCCCTCCTCCCAGCAGTCCTAACAGCCCTAGCGCGCCCCACCCGGGGCAGCAGACTGAGAGCCATCTCCTACTGCCCTCGCCAGCAACTTCCTTCCCCAGGGATGGGAGGATCACCATGTGCCAGGGGTCAGGAGCCAAGTCCCAGCCCCACCTCTGCCAGTCACTGCCTGGGGACCCTACTTTACTGAGCCTCGATTTCCTCTGTCCCACCACTTTGCAGGGGAACTGGCGAGAAAGCACTTGTGGTGGCCAGAGGAGGTCTGCTCTGCCTCCTTGCATGGTCCCGGGCTTCCTCCTGCTGGGCCTCAGTTTCCCTTAGGGGAGCTGGACTAGCTCTTCCTCAACACTGATTTCCACCCCTCTGGGAGTTCTTGTTTTCCACTCGGTCTGAATATTGGTGGGACTCAGGTGCCTGCCTGTATGTGCTTGCTCAGTGTGAAGGGCCTGTCCCACCTCCCTACGAGAGAGGAAGGAAGGAGAGCGTTGTTTGAGGACCCTGCAAGCGAGGCTCAGAGAGGCGAAGAGTCTTGTATGAGGTCCCACAGCAAGGAGTGCAGCCAGGACAAGACCGCTGAGGGCCAATAACCTCAAGTGCGGATTCTCTCTGTCCCAGCTCTCTGCCAACCTGGTGACATGCAGACATTGGGGACACTATCCCATGACATGCAAAGTCTGCTGTCATTGCTATAATTCAGCCTAGACTTGGACAGAGCCTCCATCTGGCTGTTCTGAGTTGGCAGGGGAGACTATGCAAGGGACTAGGGCCCAGGGCAAAGAGCTTGTGCTTCCTGGCACCTCCATCTCAAAACCGTTCCCAGTCATCTGCCAGTTCCTCACTGCCCGTCTTGCCCCCCCCCCCGGAGGCCTTCCTCTGTACCCCTAACCCTCCCAGCTGCCTTTTTCTGACCACTCCAGCCCACAGTGAGTTCTTCAACTCCCCCTCCAAGTTCCCATGGCCCTTGGCCATGGCCCTGCCCATTATGGCACCTTGGATCAACAGGTAAATACCCACTCTTTGAAGGTAGGCACCTGCCCCGACCCCAGCTCCTTCAATCCCAGCAGCATGCTCGGCGGCACGAGGGCGAGGGAGAGCTGCTCAGGAAGTTGTGGCTGACTGCTGCAGGTGTTTGGGGTCTTCAGTGCAGGCAAAGTCCTTTTTCTTCATCATTGTTTATATGGCAGAACATGACTGGGGTCCTGGAGGGTGAGGGCAGTGTCCATGGTGGGTGTCCAAACTGATCGGAGCCTGGGAATGCCTCGGAAAACACATCCTAGTTCAGGTCGACGGTGCCAGGGGCTGGGGGGTCAGGAGCTGGGGCCTCAGGCCCCACCTTGGACCATGATCCCCTGGGTCCCCTCCAGCCCTAACTGTTAAGGTCCACAATGCAATCGGGACCTGGGGCACCTTACTTTAGAAGAATAGTTGAGGGATCTCCCAGATGGTTCTCCCAGACGGTTCTTTGAGTCGTTCGATATATGGAAAAGAGCTGTTCACACTGCACAGGCCCAGGGAAATGGAGCAGGAAGCCAGGGTATCTCCCCAAAGTGTGTTTCTCCTGGGGAGGGGTCGCAGCGGGGTGGGGGGCTTCGAGCATAACCAGTCTGACGAGACTCCTAGTCCAGACGTTAAAGAAGTAGAGATGGGTAGGAGGCTGGGGCCCCAGGGAGGGTGTCCTCAGTCTCAAGGACAGCTCCATGCCCACCCTGTGGGGGCACCCAAGGCAGAGGGGATGCTCTGCGCACAGGTCCAAGACATCCTGTGACGCACTGGGAACGCCGAATGCATAACAGCGGGCAGTCTGCTCAGGTGGACCCTTGGGCCCACATAAAAAGCGAGAAGGTATTTACACAGGTGCTGTTGAAATGACAAAAGCAAGCTCTCCTTCCCAGGCCTGGGGCAGGAAGACGGGCAGATGGTCAGACAGCTAGGGGGCTGGCAGGCTGGGCGGGGCTGCAGTAATGTGCGGAACAGTCTGTTGATTTGTGGAGATCTCATCTGATTTGTTGGGAGAAGCTCATCGATTGACTGTTAGAAATGGACAAGTGTCTAGAAGTCCGGTACCCATACCATAGAACCCCAAAGTCTTGGCAGGAAAAGAGGGGGCAGAGTTTCGGGACAGTGGGGGTTTGCTGGAGGATGGTCTCGCTGGGCCCCTCTGTCTGTCTTTGGAGGGGGCCGGGAGGTTCTCATCCTCAGTGATATGTGTCATAAGTGCTTGGCATGTGCCTGGCTCCGAGGGTCAGTGACGGTCGTAGGCAGTGGCGGCTGCCGGCGGGGCAGCTCCTCGGGCAGCAGCGCTGTAATAGTATGGGGAGCCTGGAAGAGAGAGAAGAGGGCGTGGAGGTTGGAGAGTGACCTTGTGTCTGCAGCCCCATGCCTGAGGCCGATGTTCAGAAGAAGGAAGGGGATCGAAGCTCTGAGAAAAGAACTCTGGGGAACGCAAGATAATCCTGTCAGGTCAGGCTTCCTGGAGGGAGCAAGTCAGGCTGGGCTTGGAGGACAAGAGAATTTGGACATGGGGAGACTGCCTGCCTCCTGTGATCTCAGGCAGGGCCAGGGTGAAGGCCCTGTACCCTCCCACCGTCTCTGTGGGTGGCGTTATTTGACTACGTGCTTTGGGTGAGGCTCCAGGAGCCCAGCTCTGTGTGCACACTGCTCCCCGGGGATGAAAGAGCACGAGGGGCTCTGGAGACCAGCAGATTCTTAGAACCACCGAGGTTAGAGAGTGAGGTCATCTCTTCCTTCTACAGATAGGGGAACTGAGGCTCAACAAACCGAAGTCATGCGCCCAAAGCCACAGGGCCTCTCGGTGCCAGAGCCTGGCCCGGAGTTCAGGCTGCCCGCGCCTGGCTCAGTTCATGGCCTGTGCCCCCTCTGCTGGACTGTTTATCAAAGTGGACAGCAGCTGGGAACCTGGGAGCCCCCCTAGACCACACGTCTGCTGGGGTGGGAATAGTAAGCTTCTTAATTTCCCAGGGGAGGTGACATGAATTGATTCTGAAATCTCACCCAAATCCAAACCAATCCTGGCAATTCTCCCAGATATCACAACTGGGCACCAGCGCCTGGAGGTTGCCAGTCAGGTCCTATCGCTCTTGCCTGAGGGACCCTGAGCACGTAGCTTCACTCCCCTGAGCCTCAGTGGCCTCATCTGTAAAAGGAGGTCACAGTAGTGCTGTTAGAGGGCACTATGAAATAAGGACATGAAAGCGCTTTTAGAAGGGCTCTATATCCATTAACTCTTTGAATTTCCACAATTCTATCAGGTAGAAACTAGTATTGTCCCCATTTAGCAGCAGAGGAAACTGAGGCACAGAGAGTAAGTAGCTTGCGCAGGGGTTATATAGCGGGTGACACTTTAGCACCTGCCACCACCACTCCAAACCCAGCCCTGATGAGCAGGGACACTACTCCCTCCCCCACCCCCGACAAAGGCAGGTGGTTCAGGCAGCAGTGACTGTGGAGGAGCGGGCAGTGCCTTGCTGTGCTCTTCCCAAAGGCATGGGCACCAATCCCATGCCTAGGTGTTCCCAGAGAGGGAGTATTTTGCTGCTTCCTCTGTCACCTCCCTGGCCAGAGCCCTGACTCAGGGACACCCATCGGCCTCCTCTGCTCTCTCATCATCTCTCTTCTGTGCAACGGGGACAGTGTTAGGACATGCGGGCCATCCCTACAGTCCTGGGCACCACCCAGGGGCGGGGGCCGCCCCCCACGAATGGGCCTTGGGGACAGGAAATGGAAGTAAGCCTGCTCAGAAGACCCTGACTCGCCCTCTGCGCCGCCCGCCCCCGGCCTCTCGCCTCCGCTCTGACTCACTCCGCTCTCACTCTTGGAGCCTAATCTCTCAGCCAGGCTGCCCGGAGCCCAGCATGAGGTTCGACGGCAAAATAAAAAACGCTTGCATTTACTGTGAGAAATGAAAACATCACTTCACAAAGCACTCTGTCTTCCTGGTGCCCATTAGACCTTCATCTAGAATAAACTTGTCCTTTCTTCTGTCATTTTTCCTCTCTAATTCACATTATCATCAATTTACTTCTTGACACAGTCATTCCAGGCTCCCACTCACTCTCTAATCCCTTTACATCGGCCACGGGCACTCCCATTCTAATCCTAATTGACCGCTGCTGCCCTTATTTCCACCTCCTGCCCTGCCTCCCTCGCCACCCCCCACCCGCTGGCCTAGCCTGCCTGGGGGCCCCCATGATGCTGGGTCACACTGCCCGGACTGGACATGCAGCTCCTGAGGAGAAGGCTCCGCAGAGAGGGAAGTCCTCCTGAGAAGTGAGCGTGCAACTTCATTAGGTGGCATTGCCCATCCTTACTTTGGTGGTGTTTCTGTGAAGGAGGCTTTGGCCAGGCCAGCCGAGGGGCGGGCTGTGTGCGTGAGGGCATGAGCACCTGGGAGTGTGTATGCGGAGGGTCTCACCTGTTTCCACAGCTCCCACTGATCTAGCAGGAGCACCAAGGAGCCTCAGAGCATCCATACCATGGCACCCTCCCTGGACAGCGGGAATCAGTCTACTTCCCCTGATAAAGCCCTGAAGATACTCCACGGGAAAGGCAGGCTGGTAGATGTGAACAGCCTGGGACTTATTTGCAAGACTATGGCAGAGGGAGCCTGGCACCTCACTCATCTTCAGGAAAGTGAGCCTCCAGAGCCATCGTGTTCAGCTCCTCCTTAAATAAAGCTGCCAGAGGTAATTATCCTTATTGCATACCTGAGGCCCAGCCTGGCTGATGACCTGGCCGCGATTTCCCAGGTTATAGACTTGGGCAGGGCAGCGGCCATTTCTCACATTTGCAACTGCTCAGCGTTGTTTGAACCTTTTCTGTTTTCCTGTAGTATGAGGCTCACCTCTTTGAGCTCCAGGTCAGGACTCACTCTCCCAGCTTCCCTTGTCGCTAGGGTACAGATGTGTCACCTGGGCTTTGCCAGTATGACCTCGATTGGAAAGGGAGCAACTTGAGGAAAAGGACTGAGAGACCCCATCTGCTGGGAGTGGGTGGAGAGGCATCTCAAGCGCCCCGGCAACTGTGTGGAGCGGGCAGCTTGGGGGTGCCAACCGGCAACAGCAGGTGTGTTTACACTAGAACAGCCCTGGTGGGGTGGCTAGGCGGGTCCCACGCCTGTCTCTTTGGTCCTCCCAGAGATTTTGAGGGCCCCCAATATCCCTTAATAGAGATGTTTTCTGCTTAAACCAGCCAAAGTGGATTGTGGTGTTTGCACCTGAAAGCCTGACAGATAAATACAATAACCTGGCTTCCAAAAAACAGACCAGAGCTGTTCTCATCATGTACATGGTTTGAGCATTTAGAATTCTCAAGGCTCCTTCCTGTGGAGGGATGAGGCCTCTCTTCCTGGCTGTAGCACTGTTCTGACTGAATTGGTCAGGGACAGAAAGAGTCCCATGTCACACACCGGTTACGAATATAGGCTTGGGAGTCAAGGTGACCTGAGTTTGGGCCCCCATTCTGCTGTCTGCATGCTGTGTGACCTCAGGTAAGTTAATTAACCTTTCTGAGTCTCACTTTCTTCTTCTGTATAATAGAGATAATAGCATATGCCTCATAGGGCTGTTGAAAGGATGAAGCGAGATAAGCCGCAGGAAGTGTCCTGCCCAGTGCCAGCACAACGAGCAAGTGCTCCTTTAGAGGAACAGAATTTTGATTCTTCTTCCTCTCCAGGTTGGCCCTCTTCAAGGCTCTGGGCACCTCCCAGGACAGACACACTTGCCCAAGGCTCCCTCACCCCCAGCCTGTGAGCTCCCTGGGACAGAGTCCACCTCTTCTACACCAGGCACGAGGCCCACGCGTAGCAACAGGATGTGAACTAGATTTCACTCCGGCTTGAGCAGCAAAGACCTCAGATGCCGACCTCTCCTCACCATCCCTTTGGGCTCCTTGCTGCCCACACAATCAGGTCAAGCCTCTCGGTCTCAGGGTACCCCACCCATGGCCCCACAGACCACCTACCTTCTACTCCATCCCTTTGCCGCACCTTCCTGACTCGCTCCTTTGCCACTCCTCTGCCTCTGGGACCCCCAGGCAAGTGAGCCTATGGGACACCTCATGAGGATTAGAAAAAGGTGCCCACTGGGCAGCTGTGGCCTTGCACCAGGACTTGGGGCTTTGTGTCATGTATGGGCTTGATTTCAGCTCTTGCTTGTCCCCGTGGGCAGGACATAGCCATATATAAATGTCCTAGGTCAACATGACCTTTTTGGGGTCACATCCCTATCACCAGGAGCCTCTCCCACAGTCTGGCGCAGGCCTCCTTCGCGCCACATCCCCTGCGGGTCTTAGAGCAGCTCTGGGAGCAGGACTCTGACTGAGGCTGCTTTGCAGGGAGGAGTTCCCAAGCTCAGGTCACCAGACCTGTCCCTGCACCCTCACCCCTGCTGGAAGACACTGGTTCAGGGAAATCATGGCCAGCCTTTGCCTCCTGAGACTGATGGCTGGGCCACCGCAAAGCTCAGGGTCTCTTGGCGAAGTAAGTTTAAGATAAAGCATTAAGTAAGTGATTCAATACTTAGAAGGAATTTTTACCAAAACCAAAAAGGAAGTCTGAGAGATCAGTCCATAAATTCAGCCTCTCTAGGAAGCCACCACTAGTAAGAGCCTAGTTGTCTATAAAACTGGAAATCTCTAGGCACAGGGACCTGGAGCACTAACTGGCGTTGTTCCTTATTTCACCAGCAATGGTGCAAAATACACCAAAATGCTTTGGGCAGCCCAAGGCCCAAGTGCATGGAAGGTGGTAGGCAGCAAATGATGGTGTGCATGTCATGTGTCTGTCCTAAGCAGCCCTGTTAAGCTGGACAGACAAACCTGGATGGTCTCAGAGGCACGTCCGTGTCTGGCCTTTTTTCCAAAAGGATCAGTGCTCTGCCTGCAGGGTGATCGGCTGGCCCTGCCCCGAGATGGTGAGTGACGTTTATGATCCCTGGGCTCCTGCTTCATGCTCCAGAACCTTCAGCTCCAGCTGGCACACTGGCTTTATGTAAGTTCATTTCAATGAAACAGAAGACCCTTTGAGGATCGAGCAGCCCAGCTTGGGCTCTGGGATGGCCAAGGTATCTCGATGATGTTCACAGAGCGGGCTGGCCCCAGCCACGGACAATCTGCCAGGCTGAGGACTGGGCAGAGGTTAGCCACCGGCTGAGCGTGGAATGGCATGCCTTGGAAGGTCTTCAGCCACAAGGTAACCAGTTTCCAATGGAGCTGGCTATGGTGATGGCCACAGCAGACATCACTAATCAATCTCTGGGCTTCAGAGTCCTCATCAAGATAGGTACCCATTAACGCTGCCTTTTTTGTCTTTGTTCCCATTTTGTGCCATTTTCCTTTATCCATCAAAACATCTGGGGAAGGCATCAGGGCCTAAGTAGGCCTGGAGTGGTATTTACTGTCCTAAGGCCCGACCATGAATCCCACATTGCATGTTTCTGGGTAAGCTACCCACCCCACCTCAGTGACCAGGCCTCAGGATGTTGAGGGATCTCGGCCCACCTAGAGGACCCAGTGGGGCAGCTGATGGCCCAAGGGCCTCACAGAGCCCCTCCGCCAGTACTCACCGAGCAGCCCTGGGTTGGGGAACCTCCAGGAGTCGTTGTAGGAGGGATACTGAGGGTGGCTGTAGGGGCTCCCGGAAAACTCACTCCCTGCATGTGGTCGGTGGGAGAGAAACAGAACCAAATGTCAGAACAAGTTCGGAAAATGCCAATGGCACTCATCTCGTACACAAATTGCAGGTATTTTCGTAACCAACAAAGGCAGGTCCAGTCCACGCCCTTTCGAAGAGGGCAGCTGTCGTTGGCATTGTCTAGATTGCCCCCTATAACTTTTTCCTATTAGCGGAAGTGACTATGAGCCTCTCACATAGGCACAATGAAACTACCACGTGCCAGGCGTTCGTTCCCTGGGGTTATCGGCTCATTTTGCAGGTGAGGAGACTGGTGCACAGGTCCTCTCACAGAATGGCCTCAATACACCAACCCAAGTCCAAATCCCCAGGCTGGCCCTCAGCCCTGCATGAGGCCACTCCAGGACACCCACGTCCTACGTGTTTCCTGAGTGGCTCCAGACTGAGAAAGCAAAGGTAACCTCAACTCTGGTCCAGCCTTCTGTGCTGAGAATCCAGAGGTGGCTGCCCACCGAGGCCTCAGCCAATGGGGAAGATGGGGCATAAAGTCAGGCCCTCTGCCAGGAGGAAGCAGATGGCACTTTGCTGAGATGACGAGACAAACCGAAAGTCTAGGGGAGCACAGAAGAAGGAGTAGGTGGGGGCTCCGGGCACTGGGGGAAGGACAGCTGCCAGTGGCTCAGGCAGGAACGGCAGCTGTGCCGGGGTGGGGACAGCATGGGGTGTGTGAGGAGGCGTGGTGGGGACTGGGCTCCCTCTTGCCCAGCCGCTCATGGCACCGTGAGGCTTGTGCTTGGTGCTTCCCCGGCCTCTCGCGCCCAGCCCGGGGAGAACCTCTATACCACCAGCCAGTCACAAGGAGAGGAGTTCAAAATTCCTTCCCTTACAGCCTTGCTGTCTGTCTCCTCCCTGTGGCTGGCGGCTCCCGGAGGGCAGGGTTTGGGCCTGGCTCACTGCAGAGTGCCCCAGTGCCTGGCCCAGGCTGTGTCGGAAGCTGGCTGCTGAGTGGCTTTGGAAGCCACTGGTTGCAGAACATGTGGGCCCCTCCCTGGCAGGGGCAACAGGGGTTATGCTACCCATGGGGCCACCCTCAACCCAAACAAGCTCCCACGGATTTTTCCTAAGGATGCCAAATGCTTAAAGGGCAGGAGCCCCCAGAAGGGACGAGCCAGATGCTGGAATAGGAGCACTGGTCTTGCTGTGCCAGCCTAGGCCCAAATGGAGGGCCTGTGGGACTTAGCCAGATGTGGCCGGAACAATAAAGCAGACCTGAGGGGCCAGCTGCTCCTGCCCCCTGGACCCAGCCGGCCTCCGCTCTCCCTCCCTGCTGGCACAGGAGGAGCGTGCACGCGCACGTGCACTCCTCCCGAGACCTCTCTGGGGGCCACTCCCAGCCTGACAGGCTGAGCCTTCCAATTCTCTGTTTTTTATGCCTCAGTGGTCAGGGTGTCAGGCTCCGGCGTACAGAGGGAGAGCATGGTGACAGGGCTGGGCTGCAGCAGCCCAGCCCCGGCGTGTCCATCAGAGCCACGGCACCTCCTCCTCCTCGTTAGGGGCTGGGTAGGGGGGCAGAGAGACAGAGCAGCCTGGAGACGGGGGACAGCCGCCCTCTCATCCAGGCTCCTGGCGCCCGTGACGCCACCCCATCAGAGGCACTTCCTGACAGCGCTGCACCTGGGCCCAGGGCATCGGGCTGCGTTGGCTGAGGCCGTCTCTCCACCTTCATCTGACAGCACTGTGCCTGTCTGCCAGGCCAGGCTCCAAGGCCACCTCTTTGAGGAAGCCTCCCTGATCTCCAGCCCCTGAAAGTGCATCTTGGGTCCATTTAGCTAAAGTTAATTAGTTAATCATGTCTGTGCTGTCCATCCCACATTCCCACCTTGTCCCCAAATTAGCAAAGAGCCATAATTGGCTCCCACTCCTATGGAAGATGTACTCAAGTGAGTGTTGTCCTCCACCCTCCACCCCTTCCCACCTGGTGGGCTTCTGGAGTGCTACGCAGACACCTCTTCCTCGGAGAAGTCCCCTGCTGCCCTCCCCAGGTGCACTCAGTCTCCCTCAGCGTCCCACAGCGTCCCACAGTGTCCCACAGCGCTGGCTGCGCCCTGACTGCACAGGAGCCTCCTAGGAGCCGGAGCGTCTGCCCTGCAGGTCAGTGTCTGACCCCTCTGTGCACCTGTGTGCTGCCCGCCCCCGGTGCACAGCGGACAGGTGGCACTTGGTAAAGCACCGACCGCCTGCCTGCCTCCGCCTCTAGCACGGCGCTCTAGCACAGATGCCCCTGGCACTCTCCCTCACCGCCCTCCCGGCTTTGCTCCCACACCGCCCTCGCTGTGAGGCTCTCCAGACCATCACATTTAAGATGGAATCTCCTTCCCCCACCGCTCTTTCCTGATTTGTTTTTCTCCATAGAACTGGTCACAATCTAACATATCTTGTTTACTGTCCTTAAATAGATTTCAGTGCCTGCCAGATGCCAGGCCCCGTGCTAGATGGGCATTGGGATAGAGACATTAACTCAACAGACAGAACTCCCTGCCTCCATGGACCTTACATCCTGGTGGAGGAGGCAGAATTAACAAGAGAAGCACAAGGCCCACCCTGGGCCTCTGTCTCCCACTTGTAAAAGGGCAGAGGAGACCAAATGGTGTCTACAGCCCTTCTTGTCTGCTGAGCCTGACACTCGCCTCCCAGGGGTCTTGCCGGGAGGGAGGTCCCCTCCTTGGGGCTCGGTGGGCTCCACCTCATGCTGACTTCGGTTGGGTCTGGAGCCTCCATTTCCCTGGCTGAATTCACCACCAGTGTGACACCCAAGGAACATTCACTGGCTTTCCTCAAAGCCTACAAAAGCAGCTTAGAAAAGTGAGTCTTGTCCAGCCAAGAAAAGGCCCTGGGAAAGCCCTGGGAATACTTTCAGCGTAGAGGGGAGGAATATGTGAGCCAAGATTGATAGGATTTGATAGGAAGAGGGAGGCAAGGCATCCCAGGCACAAGCAAAGGTCTGGGGGTGGACAGCCAGAGCACAAGCTCTGCTTGGCCGCTTCTTCATGAGGCCCCGGCACAGGCAAGCCACGGAGCGGACTGCGGCGGGACAGGGAGGGCAACCCTACGGTCAGGTCAGGGGGTCAGCCCGGGGGCTGCTGCCGCAGTGCAAGTGAAAGGGAGCCTGAGTCTACGTAGCTACAGTATCCAAAGACACAAAATGTGTTCCTCAAGTACAGCAATGATATTCTCAGGGCAAAAAATGGAAGCCCGCGCTTCTGGCTCTTTGTCGGGGCCCCTAGCGGTGCGGCCAGCCGATGCAGGGCAAAGGTCACACAAGAAACACCTTCTCTACGACTGCCCAGCACAAAGAACACCATGGTCCCTTTACCTCTTTCCACTAAGTCACCTGTGTTGGGCACTATAACCCCCCTTCCCCCACCTCCTATACATTTAGTAAAGCCTGCTACACGCTCAAATGCCCGCCTTGCACAACTGAGTTGGTGTTTTCTCCCCCCATGGAAATCGAGGAGAGTGGCTAAGTGCCATGTTTGGGTGGTCAGCGGGGCTGAGATGCAAGAATGTGGTCCAACAGCAGCGCAGATCAGAGCCCAAGAATTCAGTGACGTCTGGCAGCCTGAGACAGCGATGAGCAAGCGAAAGTGAGCCTCCCCTGGCAAATCCTAGAGATCTTGGGGAGGACATGGCACTCTTCCACGAGGTGGGGTATGGGGGTTTGAGCCAAGCTTGTCTTGATGTCGAGGTGCCAGAAGCCAGCCGGCCGGCCGGTGCTGGTATCCTTCGCCCAGAAAGGAGTGGTGGGGCCAGAGCGGGCAGCTGCACACGTAAAAGCAGGGAGGTGGGACCAGACAGAGGGTACACGATGGCACTCCGGACACTCGGGACTGACTCCCCCCCTTCAGCTGCCATCACCAGGACCAAGAAGAGAGGGCCGGTCCCCTCCCAGGCCCATGGCCCACAGGTGCGCCCTACGCCCAACTCCTGCCCAGAGCTGCCCACCCCGAAGGAGACGACAGAAAATGGCTCCAGACTGAGAACACCCCCGATGGCCGGCTTCTCCTGGCATCCTGACACCAAGACCAGCTCGGCTCAAACCCTCATTCTCCACCTCACAGAAGGGCCCCATGTCCTCCCCAAGATTTCTGCAACGTTTCTAGGGGAGGCTCACTTTCCAACTTACAGCCTGGGTGGCCTTGGGCACTTGAATTTACCTTTTGAGCCACAGTTTGCTCACCTGTAAGAAGGAGGGAAGGAACGTCCCTACTTCTTAAGCTGGTGGAAAAGATCAAATAACTTCATAGTTACAGAAGATCTGTGCACAGCCTTGTGTGGTGAGGCTTTGGTGTCTCCTCTTCATGGGTGGTAGGCGAAATCAGCCCAGCCACTCCCCCCAAACCCTCTGACCACAGCCCCAGATCCTCCCTGCCAGGACCCTGGGGAGGGTGAAGGGGGAGCTGAGGGACGGAGAGAACTACAGAGCTGCAGCAATGTCAGAGCAGGAAGGGGGCTGACGAGTCATCATACTCTGGTTTGACAGACGGAGAACCTGAGACTCAGAAAAGAGAAGGGATTTGGCGGAGGCCAGGCACTCTGAGGGCCCCGAGGTCAGGAAGGCAGCACCGAAGGGCTGTTTGTGAACTGTCTCTACTTGGTCTCTTGGAAGAAAAAAGAAAAAGAAGGGGAGAATAGAAGGAGCTAAAGAACACGCTCCACGGGTGTGGCACCCCATCTCACACACCCCATGGAAGGTGACAGAGCTGAAACTGCTGGGCCCACGGGACTTGGCTTCTCACTGGGCATCCAATGACCTGCAAGCACTCCCCTCATTCCCACGCAACCCCAAGCAACATGCTCCTTCCTGGAACTGACGGGAAGCAAAGTTGGCCCACCACCCTCCACACACAAAGTTGGCCCACCACCCTCCACACGCAATGTAAGTTACCTTACATTGAACCTCACCAGTGTCTGCTGTTACTCATAGTCCCAGGTTATTAGGACAGGGACAAATGTGAGAGA